ATTAAAGAACTTACTCACAAGAGAAAATCTGAAGAGCAGAAAATCTGGTCAAGTCCTAAGACTGATTTAATTATAAATTAATTTTGTCTCCTCTACATCTCCCTCTCCCTCTTTTTATATATTTCTATTATTACATTTCAAGATTGTATAAATTTTATTATTATATTTTCCACTTTTTCTATTCATGTCTGCCGCGTTTGCCTCTATTTAAAGCCCTTGTTGCGCGCTCTGTATATTTTAGCCCAATTTAAGTTCATTCACCAGAAAACGCTTATACAAAAGGCACGCACACACACACACGCACACATTAACTGATAAGACACACAGCTCTATTGACATCCTTTTTCTTCAGGTTATAAATTTTTACACTAGACTGCAAATTCAATGTGCATATATAATTATAAGTTAACAAGAAATTCGCAGCTTTCTTCGTGTCGCGTTATCTCTAATTGAATCGACAATGTCTGTGGCGACTCCCAGTCTCCCTCTCGCTCTCTCTCTCTCTCTCTGTCTCGCTCTCTATCTCTTGCCTCCTGTATATGTGTGCTGGCTGCTTATGTACCCGTTGGCAACCTTTCACTAAGGCCTCGCGTTTACCTTTACACTCAGCCGCACTTTTGTTTGCCAATTGGGTTTGGCAGCTGCGAAACTTTGCGGCTTCCTTTGAGCTCAAGTTAATTTGTCATTTTCACTCGCCCATATAATGGGAATTCCATTTTACTCTTCACTTTTTTACTGCTCTTCTTAAAATTTTCTTTTCTTTTTATTTCGATTATTTCTTTTTTGGTTTCTGCTCTTTGTTTCCTGCAAGTTTTTCACGAAGAAAACAATGAACTTTGCCCTTTAGCCAATTCAAAAGTAAATATCTTATATAAGAATCGACTTGATTTGCGCGCAAGTGGAAAGCTTCACGAAGCTTGCACAAATTAGGAGCCACGGAGTCACTCTGCTCCGTTCCCCCCTTCTCTCCTCTCTCCTCTCTCGCACTACGTTTGATGTACAGCGGAAAATTCATGCAGTCGCGTCACTGAACTTCTTCACAGCTTCCCCCT